ATGGAGAAGAGATTCTTACAACACTAATATCTGACAAAGAACTAATACCAAGAATATATAAAGAATTTTTTTCAATTAAAAAAAGGCCCATGACCTAATAGAAAGAAGAACAAAAGACCTGAACAGGTACTTCATGAGACAGGATATCCAAATAGCCAACAAACACATAAATAAGTAGTTACCAGGGGAATTCAAATTAAACCCATGAAATGATTCTATTATACACCAGAATGGCTAAAATGCAAAGGACAGAATACCAAACATTAGCAAAAAATAAATTAAGAAATAAACATAAAACTAATGGAATTCTCATACATCCTTGGAGAAAGTGTAAACATGTATAAACACTTTTTAAAACAGTTTGGCAGTATAAATAAAAGCTGAACACACATACCTTAGTGTTCAGAACAGCATTCTTTTTAACAACTGAAAATTGAAAACTCAAATGTCCAACAACAGCAGAACGAATAACTAATTGTGACTCATCCACGAAATGGAATATATAACAATACAAATGAGCCAGCTACCACTACTCACCACAACATAACTGAAGTTCACAAATACAATGTTGAAATATAGATGCCAAACATAAAGAGAACATTTTGTTGGATTCCAATTATGTAAAGTTTAAAATGTAGGCAAAAACTGGGGACTCTGTATCTAGTATAAGGGAGATTCTATAATTTGGGAGATTTTATAATTTTATAATTATAATTCTATAATTTTATTTCTTAATCTAGGTGTTGGTCATACAGCTATATGTGAAAATTCAATAAGCTGTATAGCTAATGGTACATTTTTCTGAATAAAATAACTCAACAAAATTCATCAATGAAAACTAAATATAGATAAAAACAATGGAAAAACAATCTCAAAATAGGGAAACTTTCCTATAAAACAAAACCAAGCTATAGAACAAAACCCAGGGCTCGGCACCTATAGCTCAACCGGCTAAGGCGCCAGCCACATACACCTAAGGTAGCGGGTTCGAATCCCCAGCCCGGACCCGCCAAACAACAATGATGGCTACAACCAAAAAATAGCCGCGCGTTGTGGCAGGCGCCTGTGGTCCCAGCTACTTCGGAGGCAGAGGCAGGAGACTCGCTTGAGCCCAGGAGTTGGAGGTTGCTGTGAGCTGTGATGCCATAGCACTCTACCCAGGGGGACAGCTTGAGGCTCTGTCTCAAAAAAAAAAAAAAGAACAAAACCTAGAAACCATAAAACATTGCCAGTTCACCTACATAAGAATTTTAAAGTACATGGCAAAAAACCACAGATATTGAAAATAATTACACAAATTACACAAAATATTTACAATTTCTACCACGAAAGGCTAAATCTATAAAAAGGCCAACAACACAAAAACGCTTTGCCCACAAAAGACAGTTTAGAGAAAATATGAATGACACAAATACATGAAAACATGTCAGTATCACTTGTAATAATAGAAATAAAGCTCAACCTACAATGAAATTCCATTTTTCACTTTTGGATAAAAATGTTTGGTAACTCCCTCTGAAGAACAGGTTATAGTGCACTGATAATAGTATAACTTGATAGATGTCTGTCTATCCAGGACAAATGCACATCACCATTTAAGCCACCAATCCACCTCCAGGAAACCAGCCTCTAGGTATACTTGGCAAAGTACAAATCACTATACATATAATGAATAAATGCCAATTAGCTGAGAACAAATTAAATAAATAAGGGTACGTCAATTATACTAGAATACTATGCAGTTGCAGTTTTTTTTTTCTTTTAAATAGTAAGGACTACTTTATGGACTACTACTCATATGGAAAAGATTCCAAGCTATAATGTAAAGTTAAAGAGGGTAAGTTGAGAACAAGTAGAGTACAATATAAGCATGCTAACTACTGTGTAAAAGAATTGAGGTACACATTCAAAGGTACAAAACACCTTTGAAAAGATACACAAAAACTAATACTACGTTTGATCTAGATGGCATTAATTTTAAGATGCATTATTTTATGCCCCAAAAGGAATAGGTGTTACCAATTATTTTCTTATCACATAAAATTTTCTTCTGTAAAGACTGCTTTTAGATTTATATTCAATTATTATTTAATCACATATATGCTTACCTAAAAAGGAAATGGTAAAATAACCTATTTTCAAAAAAGGAGATTCAATATCTGCATCTTCTCAATCACTTGCAACTCATTTGTTGATGATATAATGATGTGTCCTCAAGAGATTTTTTAAAAATACTTCATTAATGTCTCTATGATTTTTCTGCAACCTGTGTGATAGCACAACCCTGTACAAGTATCTCATTATTAATACTTAATACTTTCAAAATTTATCCTTGCTTCATCTACTTTTAAGAATCTTTCTCCTGGCTTGGTGCCTGTAGCCCAGTGGTTAGGGCGCTGGCCACATACACCAGGGCTAGTGGGTTTGAACCTGGCCTGAGCCTGCTAAACAATGACAACTACAACAAAAAAATAGCCAGGCATTGTGGTGGGCTCCTACAGTCCCAGCTACTTGGGAGGCTGAGGCAAGAGAATTGCTTAAGCCCTAGAGTTCGAGGTTGCTGTGAGCTGTGACACCATCGGTCTACCAAGGGTGACGTTAGTAAGAATCTGTCTCAAAAAAAAGAGAGAATATTTCCCCTTAGATTCTGCTAAATAGTGCCTCTCACACTTCACTGTACTCACTACAAATCTTTTTTTTTTTTTTTTCATTTAAAAGTACACACAAATCTTGAGGATTTTTACTACACTCTTCTGATTAAGTAGTTTGGGATAGAGGATGTAGGAGATAAGACCAAGGCTCTGAACAGTAGAAGAGGTTGTTGCTTTGCAAGGAAACACAAAAGTGAAGTCATTCCCCAACATTATTATTTCGTTAATAAAGAATGTATATAACACAGATCTGTTTGAAAGCTTTTTCTGGAGTCAGAATAAATGCTGAATCAGTGTCACTCTCTGAAGCCACTTTAAACAGCAACTAAACTTTAATACCTAGTACTAACAATTACTATAACTCAATTTTTTCTATGACAAGTTCCTACATATGCAGGCAATGATAAGAACATCAACACTACTGCCTAGATGACAACAATTTTAAGGCACCACTTACTATAAAATGCATCCCAATATTTTAAAGCTGTTTAAAGATTTTTTAAAGTGTGGCTTAAGGCCAGGCACAGTGGCTCACACCTGCAATCCTAGCACTCTGGGAGGCTGAAGCAGGTGGAATGCTAGAGTTCAGGAATTTGAAACTAGCCTGAGCAAGAGTGAGACTCTGTCTCTACTAAAGGAAATGAGGATCTTGACCCCAAGAGTTACAGGTTGCTGTGAGCAATGATGACACCATGGCACCCTACCTGGGGCAACAGAGTAAAACTCTTATCTAAAAAAAATAAATTAAAACAGTAGGATTCCATTAGAAGATAAAAATCCCAATACTGGCAAACACACGTACTTTTAGCTTCTTTACCTTTTGCTTGTCACACTCCACGCTGGGATAACAAAAGCGCATTACTATTATAATAATGAGGAGGAAGAGAGGGTAAATTATGGACTAGCAACATGTAAAAATATGCCTATATATAATAAAAGCTGGACGAGAAACATGGGCAGCATTTTTAAGTGGGAGAAGTACAGCAATAAGTACCTAGGAAAGGAAAAGTGAAGAACTAGATTCAAAAAGAAATCTTTCTAGATTACAAAGTTGTTTAAACATAAAAACTGAATACTCACATATATACCATCTAGATTCAACAATTAACATTTTGCTCAATGTGTTTACCTTTATCTATATGCATATGTGTTAAAATTTGTTAAAACTTATCAGTCTGCATATAGTAAAAATTCTTGCCTTTCCCAGAATGTCATATAAGTGGAATCATTCAGTAGATAATCTTTGGAGTTTGGCTTCTCTTGCTAAGCACAATGCATCTGAGATGCATCCATGTGTGTATCAATTAAGAACTTAGATTTTAGCAGATGAAAAGGCAATCCTTAGTTCAAAAGTCTTTTCAAAAGAATATTAGATAGTCTGGGCAAGGTGGCTCACACCTGTAACCCTAGCACTCTGGGAAGCCAAGGAGGGTAGACTGTCTGAGCTCAGGAGTTCAAGACCAGCCTGACTTGAAGTAAGACCCTGTCTCTAAAAACAGCTGAGCATTGCGGCGGGTGCCTGTAGTCCCAACCACTTAGCAGACTGAGGCAACAGGATCATTTGTGCCCCAGAGTTTGAGGTTGCTGTGAGCTATGAAGCCATAGCACTCTACTAAGGACAACAAAGTGAGACTCTGTCTCAAAACAAAAAAGAATATTAGGTAGTTTTTTTTTTTTATTAAGTCATTCGTTCTTTTTTATTGCTTACTACAAAGTCACTTAAATGTAATTTTTTATATATCTCAGATATACTTATTATCATAAGAATAGGCTTTATATTATCTTTAATCTTAAAGACAGGTAACTTTATTTTTAGGATGGTGTGATTTAAGTCAGGAAATTCTTTAAAGCATTAATTATACTAAGTTTTTGTTCTACTGCTCTTTAAATCAATGAAGTATGTTCCCCCTTTTAGAAATGTAAGTTACCACATAACATAATCACTGTTAAATAAGCAAGCAATGTAATTCCTACCTGATCATCATCTTCTACAACCACCAGAGTTAATTTATTCTTCTTAAAATCCAATCTGGTTATCTTGGGCCTATAATAATGAGAACAACAGCCAGATTATAAATAAATGTCCTCCAAATAAAAAAAAAAAATTTTTTTTTTGGTTTTTATTTCAAGCACATATTTAATCACCTAACTTCTGAATTGAAAACTGATGGAAGGGTCTAAGTTATTTGTTCTGCCCACCAAAAAAGCCTCTAATCTAAAAGACAGCATAACAGTAAAACACAGTGTACATTTCAAAAGCAATCCCTATCACAAAGTTAAAACTGCACATATATTGGACATTAAAATTTTTAAGGAAAAAATAAAATAAAATAAAAAACTACATTATTTCACAGGCCCCAACTATGAAGAGATTTTTATAGCCCAGATCAAACTGTTTCAGTGTTAAAGCAGCAATACAGGCACTGGCCGCAGGAAAAACCACAAAGCTTCCAAAAAGGCATAAAGAAAAACATTGATTATGGTCTTCAACTCTATAGCAATTTTGATTTGAAGAAATGTATCCTAATAAATTTTATTTAAACCTCATTTTATGGCCAACTTTCCAACTCTATCTCCCTACCTGTACTAAAATTCTGAGCACCCTACCACACTCAAACTCTGTACTTCCATAAACTATGATTGTCAAAACAATGAGACACTCACTCCCACTGATAAATCTTTAAATACAGCTTAGATAAAATAGCTGTGAAACATAATTTGTTTATAACAGCTTTACAACAATAAGTAAATAAATGCATAACAGGAGGGGGAAGAGAGGAGATAACACTTATCTGTGTAAGAAATACTTACATAACACTCACTAAGTGCCAGGTACTCATCTAAGTGCTTTACAAGTATCAACTAATTAATTCTTACAACCACCTTATAAAGAGAGTACAAAAGGGCCTGGAAGCAAGCTAGAAGTGTCAGGGAATTAACAAGGAAGGACTAGAAAGAAAAATGCCCCAGCTTCCTCACTTATCAAGGGACAATTGCAAAGGTCTCCCACTTAAAATCTCTCAGAACACCTGAATGCAAAAATAAGTGAAATACTGTCTTCAACTTTAGAACAGAGAACCAAGAGATGAACCCAGCTACTTATCTCATTTGATCTTTGACAAACCTATCAAAAATATTCAGTGGGGGGAAGACTCCCTATTTAACTAATAGTGCTAGGCGAAGTGGCTGGCGACCTGCAAAAGACTGAAACAGGACCCCTACCTTTCACCACTAACAAAAATTGATTCTCACTGGATAAAAGATTTAAACTTAAGACATGAAACTATAAAAATACTAGAAGAGAGTGCAGAGAAAACACTTAAAGAAATCAGCGTGGAAGAATATTTTACAAGGAGGACCCCCCAGGCAATTGAACCAACACCAAAAACACATTACTGGGATCTGATGAAACTAAAAAGCTTTTGCACAGCCAAGAGCACAGTAAGCAGAGCAAACAGACAACCTTCAGAATGGGAAAGATTTTTTGCAGGTTCTGTTTCTGACAAAGGTCTGATAACAGAAATGCAACTCAAAACCACTTTGAGATATCATCTAACTCCAATAAGATTAGCCCACATCACAAAATCCCAAAACTACAGATGTTGGCATGGATGTGGAGAGAAGGGAACACTTCTTCACTGCTGGTGGGAATGCCAGCTAATATGACCCTTTTGGAAAAAAGTTTGGAGAACACTCACGGAACTAAAAGTAGACCTACTGTTCGATCCTGCAATTCCTCTACAAGGTATCTACCTAGATGATCAAAAATTACTTTAAAACAAAGACCTTTGCACCAGAATGTTTATTGCAGCCCAATTCATAACTGCCAAGACATGGAAACAACCCAAGTGTCCATTGACCCATGAATGGATTAACAAATTGTGGCATATGTACACCATGGAATGGTATACAGCCATAAAAAAGGATAGAGATTTCAAATCTTTTTTGTTTACCTGGATGGAGCTAGAACATATTCTTCTTAGTAAAGCATCTCAAGAATGGAAAATAGTATCCAATGTACTCAATACTACTATGAAACCAATATATAGTCACCTACATATTCACATGGATTATAAAATGTAAATATAGTCCAGAAAGTAGAAGGGAAGAGGAGAGAGAGGGGAGGAGAGGGTAGAGGCAGGAGGAGGGAGGGCATTTGGGGGGACCTTGCCTAATGTGCATGATGCAATGGTACGTTCCAAAACTATTTAAAAAAAAGAGTATAATTGTGATGGATATGTTAATCAGTTCAATGTAAGCATTTCACATTGTATACCAAATCAGTACACTGAACCCCATAAATGCATCTATGTACACAGTTATGATTTAATAAAAACAAAATAAAAGAAATAAGTAAAAAGAACTTAGGAGAAGATACAGGCACATAATTGAAAGGGATGTATGGGGTGTGGATATAGGGAGCCAAGAGTACTAGAAAAAACAAAAAGCTATGCAGAAAAAAAATGTAATGCCAATGTGAGATCAAAGATTTCAGGGTAGATCAAGAAAAAGCAGTTTTGCACAATGTGCTTTATTGAGCAGTGTTTGGACTGGGCGGCATGATAGGTGAGGTCCTTTACAGGTGACCTTCTCTGAGACAACAGCTACAAGGCCACCACCAGAGGGTCAGAGGGCAAAGGAATTTTCAGAAGAGGGGGGAAATCTGAGAAGGAGCTTAAGTGTTTCATGGATAATATTCAGTAGTAAATGGGAAGTACTTGGGTAAGAAAACTCAGAGGAAGCTATGGTTTAGGGTTCTTACATCTATAAGGTTTCTCTTATCTATAGCTAGCTGATGTTAAGGAGTCTAGTTTTGAGATATGCAAGCCAGACAGGCTCTAAATGGCCCAAAATAGGTATTAGGCTGTACTTAAAGCAAATGAATAAGTAAGAATTTGAGTTTAATGCCAGAGGCTTTGGGCTAACGGTTCTAGCCTGCTGTGAGGAAGTAGTTAGGAGCCACAGACTTATATGTCTGTAACACCAGTACACACCTATGCTCTGTGCTCGTTCTGCCACAGATGTAATATTGTAAAAACCCTACTAATTCTCAGCTTTTAGAACACTAGACAAAACCTGAAGGACTAAATTATGGTTGTAAAATCCAAGTAAAATCTATGCTTGATGTAAAAGTAAAAGGTAAATGTAATTTTAAACTATGGATGATAAAAGCTGAAACAGAAAGAGGAGCACAACTTAAAAGGAGGATTAAAGGCTGGGCAGAGTGGCTCACACCATAATCCTAGCACTTTGGGAGGCCATAGGTAGATCACATGAGCTCAGGAGTTCCAGGCCAGTCTGAGCGAGACTGAGACCCATCCCTCTACTAAAACCAGAAAAAAAAAACTAGCCAGGCATTGTGGTGGGCACCGGTAGTTCCAGCTACTCAGTAGGGTAAAGTAAGAAGATTACTTGAGCTCAAGACTTTGGGGTTGCTGTGAGCTATGATGCCAATAGCCCTCTATCCAGGGCCATAGAGTGTGTCTCAAGAAAAAGTCATAAAAGAACTAATATCTTCCTCTTATACAATAGGAAGAGACTACGGAGCAAGAAATACTAAAAACAGTGCCATAACCATCTGAAGGTAGGGAATGTTCATGTGAACATCTAATATATAAACATAAAGACATTTTGATATATCTTGAAAATTGAAGGAAAAGACAAGTGGAACCGTTTTTATTTTTAAAATTGGCTCTAGAGAATGGGAATAAAGGTAAGTAAAAGTACAACAGGACCCAGTTAGCTTTCACTTGTAAGTTTTTCAAAACTAATTTTGAAACTCTAGAACAGGCGTCCTCAAACTACGGCCCGCAGGCCACATGCAGCCTGCCTAGGACATTTATCCAGCCTGCCGGGTATTTTTGCCGCTGCTGCTTATCTTGCTTAGCAGCCGACTCATCCCGGGCCCCACAGTCCGGCCCTCCAACAGTCTGAGGGACAGTAAACTGGCCCCCTATTTAAAAAGTTTGAGGACCTTTGCTCTAAAGACTATGTGTTAACTTGATGTAGATATTTTCACTCATCTGAAAAACAACACAAAAGTAGTAACTCTGACACCAACTCTTGCTTACCAAAAAAATAAACCAATTTTGGTCTCTCCTTCAAAGACAAGGACTCCTGTTGGGGTCAGTCCCAAACTATAGTCATTACCATCTCTAGCCTAATTTAAGGAGAGAAAAGTGTGTTAGTTTTATTTATTTTTAAATGCATAAACTGAGTTTCACATTTTTACACATCTGTTTAATTTTTTTTGTCTTGAATCATATTAATTATATCCAGGCTAACATTAATATATAAGATGTTTTCAACAATTAGAACATCCAAAATAACATTCCCAGAAAAATGCACACAATTATTTTTTTTCTAGTCATTAAAACACTGTACCCTAAAAGTGAGCAGTTATACTCCTGCTACAAACTAAGTTTTTTCCAAGTTCTTCCTATGTTCTACTTATCACAAAGTTATATTTTTTAACATTATTTTCTTAAATCACAAATTTTAGAAAAGACTGCCTTTCTGGGAAACATTGCTAGTTAAACTAGAAATAACTTAAATGACTACACAAGTTGTCCTATGGTTTATCAAAGTCCTCTTAAGCTTTATGTTTGCAACTTTGCTTCTTGAATTATTTAAACAGCGCCTACTAGCTTAAGTTATATAAGGTAATTTGATATGAAACAAATACAAAATGGCTTAAAAGCTTAAAAACAAATAACAGCTTAAAAGGATTGAGGTAACTGTTCAGAGATATTGGTTGTTTCTTTTTTGTCTTATAATGAACCTTTCTCTAAGATTCTAGTTAATTCAGTATATTTAATCTCAACCCTCTGGCCACACATCCAAAGTACTCAATGCTAAATTATGTAAACTCCATGCCCTCCCTATACTGAAAAATTCCATAGTCATGATTCCCTAGAAATAAATTGCTCAAAATGCATCACAACACAGTTCTTACCTTGACCACATGCATATCAACCCCATACATTTCTAGCCATTTGGCTTTATTCAGATAATTAGTTTCAGCTTGGGCTGGTGTCTGACCTCTGAAATTTTAAATATAATTTTAAAAACAATAAATATTAAATGAATTATATACAAAGATAGAAATAGAAGAAAACAAGTAAAAAATAACTATTGAATATGAAATAACTATGTTCAAGTGTAATCAAATACCAAGTACCTGTATTCTCTCCATTTCTCAAAAATAGCCAGTTCCATCTCTTCAGTCTGGATGGGCACAAACCTGAATTCAGTAACAAGTTCCGGACTATGCTCAGCAAGATCACAGTCACCAAGTTCAGCTACAAACATAAGTTTCAGAAAGTTATATTTTGTAAATGCTAATAAGTTTATTTTCTGCTGAATCCATTTTCAAACTCATTTTATTAATAAATTGCTAAGAGTAGGTTCTTAACCCATAGAAATTAGTTAAGATTCAGACAATTCCCAAAAATAAATCTAGCTTAGATTTAGGACTTAATAATCCATACAAATATACCATCTTGATTCTTGGATATGCATTTTTTTTTTTTTTT